TGGTGTCTCTGCCTCCATGCATGGGCCCTACAGTCCATTCTTCACCTAGCAGCAGAATAACCCTTCTAAAACATGAGTCAGGTGCATCATTCCAGGGGCCTCTGTTCCCACATGGAATCTCATCCACACTCCTTACCACGACCCACGGTGCCCTGTGCAATCTGGCCCTTTGCTGTTTCTACAGTCTGCCTCTTTCCTCACTCTTCTCCAGCTCCCTTGCTATTCCTCAAGCATCCCAAGCTCATTCTAGCTCAGGGCCTTTGCAAGGGCTCTTCCCGTGGCCAGAAATTCCCTTGTATCATTTTCTGGTCTCTGCTCAAATCCTTAGCTCTTTGGAGAGTCTTTGCTGACTCCTCACTCCCAGCTCACCCACCGTTACTCCATTTTACTTATCCTTATAGCACCCACCACTCTTAGGAATTATTTTGTTTATTTTTTTATATTTTTGTTTTTTATCAAGTTATTTTTTTTCTTTTCATATTTTTCCAGGTTGACTGAGATACAATTGACATACAGCACAGTACGAGTTTAAGGTGTACAGCATAATGATTTGATTTGAATCATGAAATGATTATCACAATAAGTTTAGTGAATGTCTGCCATCTCATACAGATTCAAAATAGATTTGAATGAATCTAAATAGATTCATACAGATTCAGAAATAGAACAGTTTTTTTCCTTGTGCTGAGAACTCAGAATTTACTCTTGACAATTTTCATATATAACATATGGCCATGTTAATTATACTTATTATGTTGGGCGTTACATCATTAGTATTTATTAACATTATAACTGGGAATTTCTACTATTGATTATGTATTTGTTTGCTGTCTGAGTCCCCTGTTCCCTTAATGTAAGCTCCAGGAGAGGAGAGGTTTTGGCATGTTGCTCGGTGCTATGTCCAGCAGCAAAGTAGAGCTTAGCTCTTTAGGTATGCAGTAAATATTTTTTTGAGGTAGCTGAGGGAGGAATGAGAAGGGGAAGTTAGAAGTGTCTCAGAACAAGTAGCAGTGTGGTAAGGGAAGGGGCCTCCCCTGCTCCTCAGGGCTTTATATTATGGCATCTGTCTCAGATATGGTCATCAGAAAAGTATATTCAGAGGAATACCATTTTAAGCCGAAATCTCAGTTTTAGCATTATGAGTTTAGTTTGCTGGGCTCTAAGATCTTCATGACCTGGATAATCATGATGGTATGATCACTCACCTAGAGCCAGACATCCTGGAATGGGAAGTCAAGTGGGCCTTAGGAAGCATCACTATGAACAAAGCTAGTGAAGGTAATGGAATTCCAGTTGAGCTATTTCAAATCCTAAAAGTTGATGCTGTGAAGGTGCTGCACTCAATATGCCAGCAAATTTGGAAAACTCA